CGGGCGGCTGCGGCGGTGGCGCCGACTGCTGCTTGCTGGCCCCCTGGCGCCCGCGGAAGGACGAGACGCAGACTGAGCTCAGCATTGGACGGGGGGCGGGGCGAGAGGGGCGGTGCTGTAGAAGGGGCGGGGCCTCAGAGGAGAGGGAGCTCTGATTGGGTGGGAGGAGGTGACAGATGGAGAGGGCGAGGTCTCAGGGACGAGAAACAGCCGTGATTGGTAAAGAGGAATAGATGAGGATGTGGTGGGTGTGGCCCCGAGGGAAGGTGGGGCTGCGCTGAGGGAGGAGAAAGGGGCGGGAATAGAACGCTGGCTGGGTGAACGGGGCGGGGCCGCAAATGAGACACAGCTATTGGGTCATCCCGAGAAGGGGGCACGGAGAGGTGTAAAACAGGGCGGGAGGGCTGCCTAACGTCGCCTGGCTTGGCAACAATGATAGAACTGAAGTGATGAATCTAGATGAGGGAGAGCGGCCTCATAGCACGGTGAATCAGAGACAGATAAGAAAGAGAAAAGACAAGGCCAAGCCTGAGTAGTTGTGGCAGGTGAAAGGAGGGGTAAGACCACCAATAGGAAGAATCGTCCTGATTGGATGGAGTTAGGGGCAGCACCCAGTGAGGTGGAGCCAATGGAGCCGAAGTGGTTGGATCCCTCTCGGGGCTTCGACTTGGGGGGGCGGTGTTGAATAAGGGGGCGGGGTCGAAGAAGGTGCAAAGAGTTCCGATTGATTGAGACAAGTGAGAATTGAACTGAAAACAAGGAGTGAAAACAAATCCAACTGAAAGGATCCGAGCGAGAGGAACGAAGAGTGAGACCCTATGAGAAGGGGTGAAGATAAACGAGGCTTGGAAACTTGCGGGTGCCTTTTTAGCACTGTAAAAGGGGCAAGCTAAATGTGGGCTGGGGACAAGGCTGCAAGTTTGGCGTGGTCAGATAGGGCAGAATGAATGAACATCAGGGTGGCTGGGGCAGGCCTGAAGATGTGAATGGCTTCTATAAATAGCACAAAACGTTTTAGTGGTCTGTGGGAAGGATTAAGAGAAGAATGAGACATTAAAAGGCTTCAAAGCAGCCAGACTTGATAAAGGTTAAGAGAGAATGGAGTCGAGGAAATAAGCGCTGTGGTTTTGAAGAGAAGGGGAGGATGTATGAGGAAGAGATGATGGGCAGAGATTATAGACCAGAGTGGAGCGGGTTCTGGAGTCTTGGAGATTAGACAGCCTAGAGAGAACCCTGACTAAGGGTCAGTGGGGACCTTGGAGGACAAAATGAGATGGTCTTGGGACTGGTGGAGAAAGGGTTCCAAGCCTAAAAGGATAGATAAGCGCTAAGGGGGAAGGAATCCTAAGGGAGAAACAAGAGGGTCCAGTCCTGCAAAGAGAGTTACCAAACCCCAGAAAGCTCTGTCTAGGTGAAGCTGTGTCAAAGAGCGAAGTTTGGGATGGAGAGGCTGGAGGGGCGGGGCCAGAGCAAGGCGGCCCCGCCCCGGAGCTGTCCGGCCCCGCCCCCTCGGCGGGCCAAGCCGGAGGACTGCAGGGCGCAGGCGCAGGGGGCTTGGGGCGGGGCCAGCGGCTGCGGCAGCGGCTGCGGCGAGAGGAGGCGGTGCCTGTGGGAGCGAAGGGGGCGGGTCAGGGGCTGCGGGCGTCCACGCGCTGCACCATCCCTGGCCCGCCGCCTCCCTCTGCAGGTGCGGCGGCCGGTTCGTATCTCCTCCCCACCCCCAACCCCCACTCCCGTGTCTATCGTAGTCTCTTTTTCTCCTCTCTCTGTGCGTGGGTCCTGTTCTGTTTCCCTTCTCTCTCTGGGTCCCTGGTCTCTGTCCCCTTGTTCTCTGACTATCCCCTTTTGGAGTCTTTGCCTCTCTTCTTTTTGGACCTCAGCCACCACCACCCCACCACCTCCGTCCTTCTCTGTTTGAGGTCTCTCTCCCTGAATCTGACCCCTTCACCTCTTCTCTGCCCTCCTGTCTTACTCCCTTCTGTCTTACGTCTGCCATTTACATTTCTGAGTCTTTGTAGGCTTCCTGGGGCTTATGTCCCTTTCTTCTGGGTCTGATAACCCCTCCCCCCAAGTTGCCCCCTACTCCATCTCTGTCCTCCCATACCCCTTCCCACTAGCGCTCCTGCCCTTTCTCTTTGCTGGTCTCTGTCTTCCTCTCTCTGGGTCTCTGTGCCTTCTTCTGGTTCTCCTCATCTCTTCCCCATTTCCCACCTCTATTCCCCTGTTCCTCTATTTCAGGGTCTCTACCCCTACCCCCGCAGCTCCCATCTCTGTTCCCCCCCCCGGGTTCCTGCCCCTCCCTCTCTCTGGGTTTATGTCCCCCACTTTCTTTAGGTCCCTGTCCCCTTTTTTCTCTGAGTCTGCCCCCCCCCCGCCCAGTCTGTTCTTTCTCTGAGTGTCCCATTCTTTCCTTGGGTCCCTGTCACCCTCTTTCTCTAAGTCTGTCCCCTTGTCCACACTTCTCTCTCACACACACTCACCCCCTCCCCGTTCTTTCTCTGGGTCCCTGTCCCCCTCTTTCTCTGTCCCCTTGTGTGTTTTCTCTCTCTCTCTCCCTCTCTCTCTCCTGTGCTTTCTGAGTCTCTATCCCATTCTCTCCCTGGGTCCCTGTCCCCCTCTTTCTCTGCATTTGTCCCCCTCTCTTCAAGCCTATTCTCTGAGTCTCTGTCCCCTTTCTCCCTCTGGGTCTCTACTCCCCCTCCAGTCTCTAGTTTCTAGATCTCTGTCTTTCCCCGGTTGCCCTCTTCCACTGTGTCCCTCTGCAGCTCTGACACTTCAGTCTCCCCATCACCCCGTAAACCCCATCCTGGCCAGGACTGGGGCTGCGTCACTGCAGAGTTGCTGAAGTGGGGCCCGTCCTGTGGATCAGGACGGTGGGTTCCCACACTCTCTCTGCCCTCCCTCCCAGACCCCAGGCTCCCCTACTCTCCCCCCATCCCAGCATGCAGGACCCTCGGGCAGCCCCCAGGTCTCTGCTGGGACCCAGGAAGGCAAAGAAAAGACATTGGAGCTTCCTACCCCTCTTTGCTCCAATTCTGGTGTACCCGAGGGTGTGAGTGTGGGGGTGAGGGACTGGGGCCCCGGCTTGAATGAGGTTCCTGGGCAGGGTGGGGGTGGAAGTAGGGGCGGGAGCAGGGGCTAGAGAACAGGTATGAGGGGCTAAGGTATAACCTAAACCCGCCATCCTTCCCCTCCTTCTGTCCTTCACTTTTCTCTTGGCTTTTGACAGCAGCCAGCCACCGGGTCAAGTTACCGAATCAGCATCACGTTATGGAATCAGCGTTTTCATTGAGGTCAGAAAGTGTGGGAGAAGGGGCGATTTGGGGCGGGCTGGAAGGAGGGAGTAAAGGGAGGATTGGGACCAAGGGTAGGAAGGGTTGAGCGTGGTACGAGGAGGGTCTCACCCGACCTCAAGGTACATGTATGCTGCCATGTGCTTGGGGCCCTCCCCGGACCCCATGTGAGGGGGCGTTTGGGAACTCGGACCCTCCATCGTTTAAAGAGGTGGGAACCTCTGGTCGCTGGGCAGGGTTTCCATTCAGGGACACCCAGCCCCTACCAGTCCAGGGGAACGACGTTTTAAGCGACAGGCATCAAGAAGGGAGAAGGCCAACATTTCTGCGCCTTTCTCCAGAACCTTCTCCCACCCATTCCCAATCAATCTATTCTCAAGCCTTCATGGCACAAAATTCCCTAGAGCTCCAAACTCCCACCTCCGCGTCCAGAGGGACGACCCTCCGTGCAGGTTGCCAGCTCTCCCTCCAGCATTCCCCAAGACCCTGTTATTGGGGAGGTGTCGTCCCTTCCCTCATTTCTAAGATTCTTTCCTTGTCCCTCTGCGTCCATTAGTTGCAAATCTGGTAAAGGGGACCTCCCAGACACTAAAAACTGAAAATATGGGGACTCCCTGCCTATGATCTTTGGTTTCCTAAGATCTTCCAAGTACCCTGACTCCCTAAAAAAAGCTAGGAATTGGAGAGAATCTCTCCGCTGTAATCTTTGAGGTCCATGTATCCCAAGTCCATTCCCTAAGCCTTTGCCCCCTCTTCTGTACTCACCCCAAGTCGTGGCGGGGCGGGGATGGGGGATCCGGGGCTGGCGATGGGGGAGGGGTGACCCAACCCCGGCAGCTCTGGGCAGTGAGCGGCTGCGGAGGGGGGCAGTGACATCACCGCCGGAGGAGGGGCAGCACCACTCCCCCCCAAACTCGGGGGCTTCAAAGCCCCGCCTTGATGGCGGACGGGGAGTCCCTGAGTCCCAAGGCGAGAGAGGAGAACCAAGGAGATCAAGTGCCGGGAAATGGTATCCTTTCCCCTTAGAATGAAAGTTGGGAAACCCTTAGCCGGTTTCAGAACCCCCCCCCCAATGCCACCTGTCGCTGCCGTCGCGACCTGTCGCCTCCTACGAATGTTGTGGCTGCTGCGTCCGCCCCCGGAAAGACATAAATACAGCATGGAATACAACTTCCATGATGCCGCGCGTCTCCAAATGCCTTTGACGAGAAGTATAGTGGGCGCGGGGCTCCATGGGATTTGTAGTGTATGACAGAACCCCGTCCTAGTGGGGGGGGGAAGAATAAAAGGATATCTTTCCTCCCCTTTTTCCATTTATTCAACTTTAGAGATGTTGGCAACAATATTTTCCCTCCAGAAAGCATATTCGTTTTAACAAGGGGAGATAAAAGGTGAGATGAAAAATAAGTATTTTTACTGGCGGTGGAGAGCGCGCGCCTTAAACTAGCTGAATACGCATGCGCACAGCTAGCAGGGCTTCATCAGAAGAACTGCGCCTGCGCGGACACGCCCCCTCATTGTCCCGCCTCCCGAGGGCGGGCGCGGGCCAGTCCCACTCGGGGGCTGCCCAGCTTGTCCCCGCGGTCGAAGACAGCCACGTGGCTCCCCAGGAAGACGTCGCCAAGGATCCAGAGAGGCCCCGCTGGCGGAGGAATGTCGAGGGCCAGGAAGCCAGACAGGCAGAGTTTGACCCCAAACCGAGAAATCTGCACAGGGCGGTGGAGGACACAAGATGAGGCCACTATAGTGTCATGCCCACCAGGTCCCACCTCCTCTGAGCTTCACCCCAGCATCTACTCTGAGAACAACAGGAATCGGGGGCCTTCATCCTGTCCTAGTACCATCTCAGCCCCGGCCCCACCTCAAGCCCAATACTATAACACCCCTCTGATGTGGGACCCCCCCACACACACCTGAATGACATAGTCTTGTGCTGTTAGGTTAAACCAGGCCCCTCCAAGGAGGAGGGAGACTTGGGGTAGCGTTGGGAGTTTCGAACAATCAATGATGTACTAGAAAAAAAGAACAGATGAAGATTAGAGGGAGAGGAAGGTTTTCTGCGCTGCTCAAGCACCTTCTGTGGCTCTCCAGTGTCCTGAGATAAGTCCACATCAGACACCTGGATATTCAGGGTGTGGGTGGTCGGGTTCTGCTGGTGTCACCAGCCAAGCGGCTCTTCTCAGCCCTGTAATTTTTGCTACTTCTTCCAGACTCCATTTGATCAAACCTGCCTTTCTGCCTGTTATCCGAGAAGGCCTGAGGGTGCAGTGGGTTAAGCATTCCGACTGCTAACCATATGGCCAGCTTTTGGAACTCACTGGCCTCCAGCTGTGAGAGTCTGACCCTATAAAGATTCATGGTCCTAGAAACCTCGTGGGGCGGTTCCACTCTGCCCTATAGGATCAAGATGGTACAGCCAGTGTCCTGTCTTGTCCTGTGTTCAAAATACATGAGATGACATGACGTCTCCCCATCCCTGCTTCTCAGAAGCATGCTGGTTGCACATCTTTCAAGGAAATTCTGTTTGTTCCTAAATATGGCTCCTGAGTTTCCTCTGTCCCTCCCGAGGAAGTTCCCAGGCCCTCTACGTCTCTCAGTTTCATTCCTTTTTTTAATAAAGCGGCTTTGTCCCCCCTTCTGAATATCACATGTCAAAGAACTGCCAAAAGAGTAAAACAGCTTATGTACATCTTAGAGAAGGTGCGGCCAGAGTGCTCCTTGGAGGCAAGGATGGCGACGCTTCATCTCACAAGCTTTGGGCATGTTGCTAGGAAAGGCTGTTCGCTGGAGAAGGACATCATGCCTGCGAAGGTGGGAGGACGGCAAAGGAGAGGAAGCCCCTCCACCAGTTGTATTGACATGGTGACTGCAACACTGGGTTTGAGTGGGTCAGAGATTGTGAGGATGGCACAGGATAGGACAGTGTTCAGATCTGTTGTTAGAGGGTTGCTAGGAGTCATACACAACCTGACAGCACCTAACAGCAACAACCCCCTCCATCTGCCCAGCCAACTAGTTCCTTCTCTCACTATCCATCAGGCAGACATACTGGAGGTGTCACTTTTGGGCCCTAGGATACTTCTTGGCCCCCTGTTTCCACCTAGAGCCAAAGCATACTGCCTGATGCCCCCCACACACACACACACACTTAATAATAGTAAATGTTTACTGGATCCCAGCGGTTTCCATCAAACCTCCACCAGCCTCCCTAGCCATGCCCACGGGAGACCGGGACCTCACCTGTCCAGTTAGCATGGGCACACCTCCAAGGGCTATGTTTAGGGCCCGGATCTCTTCAGTGGGTCCTGTGATGAGGGATGTGCCCGTGTCCAGGATGGCAGCACAGCCCCGGGCACAGAGAGTCAGGCCTGTGTCCACCTTCACACTAAGAGAGGAGGGGCCATGAGTGGAGCCTGCACCTTCACGCTGAGGGGGCGTGGCCAGAGGGCGGAGCCCGCACCCTCACGCTGAGGGGGCGTGGCCAGAGGGCGGAGCCCGCACCTTCACACTGAGGGGGCGTGGGCAGGGGGCAGAGCCCACACCTTCACACTGAGAGCGCATGGGTGGGCAGAGAAGCTACATCTTCATACTGAGGGGGTACAGACACAGGGCAGAGACCACACCTTCTCACTGAAGGGTCCCAGGCACAGGGCAGAGCCCACAGCTTGACACTGAGGGCCATGGGCAGGCAGAGGCTCTGTCCCCTTAGAACCAATAGACCCAACTCCTCCCCCCTCAGACTCCAGAGTCCTGGAACTCACCTGCCCATGTGGACCTGCCAGTAGGCGGGGATGGTGACCGGCACGAAGATGAGGGGTGGGAAGTAGTGAGCCGGGTCTGAGCCCCCGAGGACCAGCTCTCCTCCCTCAGTCCCTTCGGGGTCCCTGCACAGGTAGAGCTCTATCAGTGTCATCCGTGTTCCCCGTCAGCCCCGGGGGATACCAGGGTGGTGACTTTCTGCTAATGTTGTTGGCTTCTGGGACCTAAGAGGAGTTACTGGATGCAGGCAGACCCTAGCTGTTGGGGTTGGAAGCAAGGTGGGCAAAAGATGTAGGTGGAAGACTTTAGGGTGTTGGGGGCTTTCTTGAAGTGGGGAGAGTGAAGAGTTTTACGGGTAAATTTTCCTGGACTATCTTGAAAACCAGATGGGCTATGATACTTCTGAGCTGGGTCTGGGAGGTATAACTTGTGTCAGGGAGAGGCATTCTCAGTTAAGTGCCTGGACATCCAGGGAAAGGTAGGACTTCCTGCATTACCTGTGAGTGAAGGGGAGACGGGGTAGAAACCTGCAAGGTTAGGATGAACTTTTCAAAAATAGTTTTCCTTGTGATTTGGGTGAAGGTAACAAAGCAAGTCAGTGTTCCACTCAACAATTGATGTGTTTTGCTTCAGAACACTGCAATGCTCACACTGTAACATCACTCATCCTGCTTCCTCCCTGTGCGTCTCATCTTCATTCCTTCTTTCCCATCCCTTCTTATTTTCTGAACCTTGTCCTTGGGCAAAAGCTGCCCTTTTGGTCTCAAGTGGTTCTTTATTCTAAAGAGTGTGTATTTCCCTGATATTATTGTTCACCTTATAGACCTGTGTATTGTTTAGCTGAAAACTGAGTTTTGGATTGAGTTCAGTTCTAAGCCTGAAGGATACCTAAGAGCCTTAAACTCGAGGGTTCTACGAGTCTCTGTTTAGCCAGGAGCCCAGTATGTCGGGTAGACTTCTAAAATGAAGAGCAAAATTTTAGGAGGTAGGCGAGGTTTCCAGAAGGAGCTGGGGGGAGGGGGGGATCAAGGTATTCGAGAGACTGTAAGACTACTTTTATTTTTTCCTATGGTGGCAAGTGGGACTTTGTTACACAAAATTAAATTTCCTAAGAGGTGGACAGGATTGGATGAATTAAAATTAGCAACTCCTGATGTCCAATTTTCTCAACTTGATTTTTATAATGGTGGACAGAAGGTCCCTATATTGTTGGATAGGAACTTCCTGGGTTTGCATTTGAAAGCTGAAGCATTTTAGGCTGGTAGTGAATTTCTTGATGTTTGTCTTACCCATTTCTTATTTAAGACTTCTGAAGGGTGAAGTCAGTCATTTCTTATGAACCTACCCCTCACTTAACATATCAACATGGTTAGGTCTCAAAGACCAGGTCGTTATGTGAAAGTTTTCATCGTGAAAAAATGAATAATGACCACATCCTATCACAGAATGGAGCAAGGACGACACCATTACTGACAAATTGTATTATCACACAGCTGTCAGATTCCATCATTATATAACTGTGAAACCACTGAGAATCACAGCATGACAAAATTGACACATAACCCTAACCATCACAGCCAGCTTTCATCTCACTTCCACCTTGGCATTTGTTGCCAAATATACGTTATTAACGCCAGACAAGTGGGTAGGAGCCTTTGTTACTACCACTGTAAATGTGAAGCAATGGAAAATAAGATAGTTGGTAAATGAGAGGTAGGTGTGTGACGCTGGTGACTTCCTCAATAGAGGATGGGATTTCCTATATTGGGTGGATGATTTCCTGAATGGAGAGAAGCTAGTACTTCCTGTATTGGATTCATGACTTCCTGGATGGAACCTGACACTTCCTGTTCTCAGTGCCTTCCTGCCTGGGGAGGGATACCTCTGATAATAGTGACTTGCTAGTTTGGAGAGGAGAACTTCTTCTACAGGGTCAGTACTTTCCTGAATGGCGGATGGGACTTTGAATGCTGGGTCATTGACTTCCTAAATGACAGGTGACATGTTATGGGGTAAACAACTTTCAAAGGAGGAAATAGCTTTCTTTATGGTAGTAGGATCCCCTTCCCTAATACCTGTTAAGGTAGAAGGAGAAGACAGGCTTGTCCACTAGCCCCTGGTCCACTAGTATATCCAGGGGGGGTCGAACTCCGTCCACGGCCAGAATGGGAAAACCGAGGCCCAGTATACCATCGAAGTGGGCAAACGTGAAGACGAGGCTGGGCTCCCACAAGGCTTCCCCGAAAACCACGGATGCACCCTTGATTCCTCCAATCTACGGTAGATTCATATGAGACCAATTATTTCCCGAGTATTACCTGCACAGCCCAAGATCCCACAAAACAAGGCATGAATCCTGTGTATGGGAGTATCTGGAGGAAAGAGCTCGTTGCCTGGAAACTTTGCAACCCTAATTAATCGGGAAGCTTTGTCCCTGCACAGGAAACACAAGTCCTTTCACTCTGGAAGCCACGCCCCTTCACCAGGAAGCCCCACCTTTCCATTTAGGAGCTCCTGCCATTCACAGGAAGCCACACCCCCACTGTAACCCTCCAGGAAGCCCCACCATTCCCCTTGACTAGCTCCTCCTCTTCACCAGGAGACCTTGCCTTTAGCTTGAGAAGACCCAAGGCTTCACACAAAGCCACATCCTTTCGCTTGAGAAACTCCACCCCTTCACCATGAAGCCCACCTTTCCACATGGAGACCAAGGCCATTCGTGGGAAGCCACGCCCCCAGCGAAAGCCCCGCCCCGTCAACAGGAAGTCCAGCCTCTCATTTTCAGAAGTCCCGCTCCTTCACCAGGAAGTGCCGCCATGACACTTAGGAGACCCCGCCCACTCACAGGAAGCAGAGGCCCTTTCACTTGAAACCCTTCACTGGCGATGCCCACTTCTCCATTTGAGAATTCTCACTTCTTCACCTAGGAAGCTCTGCCTTTCTCCTTTTTCTTATACCTTTTTAAAAATTCATATCTGCCTTTCTTCCTGAGATGCTGTACCTTCCCGCTTCCCTAAGCCTTCATTTAAGCCACGCCCCTTCAGTGGCAAACCACGCCTCCCGGCGAAGCCCCGCCCCTTCCAGGAGCCCAGCCTCCTCTGTAGTAAACCTCGTACCTTCCTTTAAAACCATGCAAGAAAAAAAAAACAAACCAAAAAACCATGCAACGATGAATGAATGGAAATCCAAAATCTCTGCAAATGTTCATTAAAATTAAAAAAAAGCCCACATGCCCCTCACCAGCAAAGCCCCACCTCTCAAAGAACCACGCCCCTTTCATAAGCCCTACCTTCCTACTTGGTAAGGATGCCTTAGAAAGCCACGCCCCTTCTCCACCATGCCCTGCCTCTCTGAGAGCCCCGCCCACCTCCGCTAAGCTCCACCTCCTCCAATCCTTTTGGAGACCACAGCTGACAAGACGCTGGGGTTCTCCTAGAATGAAGCCTTCTCTGGAGCCAGGGTCACTTACCGTCAGCTTGTCCTCACTCAGGATGCCACTCAGCCGTCCAGTTCCATACTGAATAGCAAACCTGGTCCCATTGGGCTGGAAGGTGCTGGAGGCACTGGAATCGAAGCGGTGGTGGAACCCTAAGTGAGGTGAGGGCTGTGTCATTGGGGGAAGGGAGGCCCCCCCAATGTCCCCCGAGGGTGTGCCAGAGCTGATGACTTCAAAACCCATGGGAAACTGGGGCTCACCCCCACTTCCACCCCCACCCTGCTGTGGCCCCCTCCATGACAGCTCACAGCATGGCAAACTTAAGAGGTGACATTTCCTGGATGGGACCCAGAGGTTGGAGGAGCCAGTGTCAAAGACGACAGAGAAGTTCTGTGGGGGCGTCCCCAGTCCAATTTCCCCAAAATACTGGACCTGATGGTAAAAGAGGAGGATGAGTGTGTTGAAGAGCTGGGCGTGGGGTCATAAGTGTGGGCTGGCTGAGGGCTAAGTGAGACTCACATTCAAGTAGTTAGAAAGAGGTACAAAAGTGGACCTATTCCCAGGAGACGAGGCCCCCACACTCAGGCGTTCTGCTAGCTTCCCCCATCCGCTCAGAGAACCGAGGGTCCTGGCTCTGGGGTGGACTCGGCGGAGAGGGACCCTGTAGGGGACAAGGCCCGAGAAAGGTCAATGGTTTGAATCCACCAGCCCCTTCAAGGAGGGAAGAGGGCCAGACTTCTCGCCTTAACGATTTACAGCCTCGAAACCCTGATGCAGGGTGGATTGGAGTTTTAGTCTGAAGGAATCCATGGTTCGAATCCACCAGCTGTTCCATGGAAGAGAGATGGACAGTCTCCTCCCGTGTAATTGAATGACCTCTGAAAACCCACTGAGGAGTCAGCTGTGAGTCGTTGGTAGCATAGAACGTTATGCATCAGGAGGCTGCGAACCATATAGTTGGAGGTTCGAATCCATCAGTCACAATATGGAGAAACGATGAGGCAGCTTTCTTCTGCAAAGATTCTCATCCTTAGGAAGTCTGTGGTCTGTTCTGCCTGTCCTGCAGAGTCTCTGTCACCAACTCTGACTTGGGGGCTGTGGTTTACGGCTTCGGAGACTCTCTGAGCAAGCTTTCTCAGATGGGATATTACAAGCCTCATTTTATTCATTTTTTTCTTTTGCTTCCTATAATTTTATTAGAATAAGCAAAAACCAGTGTACCAAGCAGCATTAAATAAACTCAGCTTGTTAAATCCAGGTACATAGCATTTTTAATGCCCACCTGGATCTACAGATAAATCTTACATGGTTTCCCCAAATTG